GTAGCATTCCTTATGTATCCCCACCTCAACTTCCTCCTCCTCCTCCACCTCTTCCTCGTCTTGATCGTCATCACCACCATCATAATCATCAGCATCATCATCATCACCAGCCTCGTCACCATCATCATCATCATCATCATCATCATCATCATCATCATCATCATCATCATCAGCATTATCATATGTTCTTCCAAGAGCCCTGTTCATTCAGCGACCAGACCAAGGGCTTGTTCTGTGTGCAGGCTGGTGCCCGCAGTTCTAGGCAAAGGAGGCGCGTCAGCATCGTCATCATCGCCATCATCATCCTCAGCATCGTCATCGCCATAACAAAAGTTTCATACGTAGCACCGTCATCATCAACACCATCACCACCATCATCATCATATTCCTCATCCGTCTCTTCTTTCTCCTCCACTTCGTCTGCAGCAGCACAAGCATCAGCGTCACGATCATCACTATCATCAGAATCATCCTCATCGTCATCATCACCAGCATCATCATCGCACCCACATTGTAACATCATAACCACCATTTGCATCGGCGCGTGCATGATCATCATGATCCGCATCACCAGCATAATCAACAGAAGCATTACCATCATCAACAGCATCAGCATCTTCGAAGTAGCCAGTACCATCAGCAGCATGATCATCAGCACCGCCATCATCATCATCATCTTCCTCATCAACATCTCGCTGATGAGAATAATGCACGATCACCCTTATCATCATCAGCATCAACATGATAAGCTGTTCTTCCGGGAACCCTGTTTATTCAGCGGCCAGACCAAAGGCTTGTTCTGCGTGCAGCCTGGTGCCCGAAACTCTAGGCAAAAGAGTCGCATCAGTCCCCAGCAGCGGTGCTGGGAGAGGCCACCACAACACCACAACATCGGAGGACTTCGAAACATTTTATCTGGAGGCCCAACTTAAAGGCGGGGGGGCACAACAGACACCATCCCCCGAAACGCATGTTTGCGATATGCATTTAGAAACGCACGAGCGATATACGCACACATCCGACTAGGGTACTGTTCGGCGACGGAAGTCAAGAACCGGCCGGCACGATCCTTACCAGCCGACTCGGCGCGAGGCCTACCTGAAAAGGAACACGCGCCGCTGCCACGACACTTGAAAAGGCAGAAGGCAGGAGAGGTCAGCGTTAGAAAAAGAGGACCGCCGCACGTTTGCGCCACGGGGTTCCGACAGCGCAGAAATCGGTGGCGAGGCGCTCAACCTGAGGACGTTTTGAAACCCTGACGGCAACAGGCTGCTTCCACAACCAGGAGGGCCCCGGGATCTCCAAGCCAACAGGAATCCCAAGGGACAGCGCCAACTCAAAAAGGCTAAAACTGAAGGCGCACAAACTAGTGCCTTGCACTACGTTGAGGGCGTCACGAGGCGACAGATCAGGCAGACCATCATGGTGCTCGCTGTTTCTCAGGGGCGGGGGCCCGTTCGGTCGATTTCGCGCAAGCAACGTTGATTGACGCGGAGTAGCAATCCACGCAGCGGCCATAAGGTCCGAACGAAGCCAACCTCGAAGCCGCTGCTAAAGACGCTTCTGAGGGAGGTCACACTTCGAACCGCGCTTGCAACCAGCCTCAAAGGCCGCAACCCCGCCGCGGCCCACGCGTCGCCGCGCTGCTGAGGTGGCCCGACCCGCTGAACACTTCCAGGACAACTGACCGCCCGCCCCCCCACGAACGGGGCCAGATGCTGGAGAGGCGAGCGCCAATAGTCTCGACCAGGAGGGCGGCTCGGCGCTGCGCGGGGCGGGCCAGCCTGCGAACTCACTCGGCGGCCCTGCCTTCCCTGGTGCACCACCTGAGGGAAGACTCTAGCATCTCTGGGTCCAGCGGCCTCGCGGTGGATCAAAACATCAGCGCCCGCTGGCTGTGGCCCAGCGCGAGCAGGCGCTGGCGGGGCGCCGCGCGCGCTCGGCGGACCGGGGACAGAGACGCCCGCCACGGATACAGCGGGCTGTCGACCCGGGGCCCCTCGTCCTAGACTTCCGATTTCGACGGACGCGGGCGCCCCATGGGATGCAAGACCCCCGACCAGTGCGAGAGGACGGCCTGGCGAGGCGGAGCTCCCACGGCAGGGGGATCATCTGCTCGCGCATCAAGCCGGGCTTCCTGACAAAGCAGAAGTACAGCGCGAAGCAGATCGCGGTCACTGCCGTCGCAATAATCCCCCCCCCCCCACCCCCCACCCCCAGCCCGCAAAGTCCAATCGATCATCAGCAGCGGGATCCGCAAGGGGAGCGGCGGCCGCGAGCGCGGCCGCACCAGCCACGCCTGGCCCTTCGCCGCTCGAGCAGCCGCCGGCAGCGCCAGCCGAAGCCCGCTCAGAGACGCCCTGCGGTGGGCGAACGCGGCCACGTGCTTGATCGCCTCCTCGCACGGGGCGCCGTCGAAGAACAGCGCGGTGAAGACGTTCGCCAGGCCTGCGCGGGTCGCGGGCGCATCCCAGGTCGGCCGCTGCGCCGCCGTCGCCCCAGCCTCGAACCTCGCCCTCCGCGACTCGTAGTCGCGGTGAGTTGCCGCGCCCACGGCCTCCGCCACCAGCAATGTCAGCGAGCCCCCGAGGCCTCCGTCGGCGCACATGGGGCGGCCAGTCGGCGCGCAGTGCGACGGGCGGCTTGGCCCCCCCAGGTCAGGCCCGCCAAGGCTCGGCGGCGGCCGGAAGGGCGAGGGCTGAGCTGCCTGGCGCGCGGCGTCGGCGGCGCAGCTGCGGGCCGTCGGCGCGCCAGCCCTGCCGGCCCTGGCGGCGAAACTCGGGTCGGCGACCGCTGGGGCACACCAGGCCTCAGGCCGCGCCCCTGGGCGGCTCCGCGAGGCTGGGCCGGCCGAGTTGAACTCGGACGGCAGCCGGCGCCAGCGGGCAGCGGAGCCCGAGGCTAGCAGCAAGCGCGCCACCTGCCGACAAACGGCCAGCAGCGCCGGGGCCGACGAGCGACCTTCGATAGAGCCAGGATGGGCGCCATAGCATCGCTCAGGATCACGCGGGTCTTCCGAGAGGCACTCGAGGAGCGGAGCGCATGCTTGAGCCCCATTGCGCCAGGGCGGGCCTCCGAGATCACCTGAGGAGCGGGACGCCTCCAGGGCGCCGAGAGCACGGGATGCCAGTCGCCCCTCCAGATGTCGACGGGGACTTCCTCGAAGTCCACAGCCACTGAATCATCGCGCAGGGCGGCCGCTCGAGGCCCAAGTTGACAACGCTCACCCTGCAGGCCTCTCCGAGGCCTCCTCTGAGACGTCCCGCTGAGTGACCCCGAAGCCCCAGGATGACGCGTCTATGCGCGCGAGAGTGGCGTCGAAGGGCAGCAAGAGGCCCCTGCTGCAGAAATCGAGGGGCGCGCGGGCCCACCGAAGCTCAGGACGTACGACTGGCCATAGTCGGGCGACGCGGCCCTTCTACACCTCCCCAAACATGTAGACAGCCCAGAGACACGAGAGGAGCCCCCTCCCGATGAGACCCCTTGAAGCGATGCGACACGAGCCATCTCCCTTCTAGAGCAACACCGACGACGAAGTATCTCCTGGATCCCACAATACAACTTCCACCGAGGCCTGGGGTTGAGCGAGATCACAAGCGAGTCCTGATCGAAGGCCCAGCCCAGAGTCTCCCATTCGACGCTGCGCTCAACCCCGCGGGCAGGGAGTCCGACTGCGCGCAGACGTTCATCGGCCTGAACGGCAGCAGCGGCAGCAGACTCACAGGACAACGATAGTGCAACGAAAGTGTCAACATACTCGGTATGAACAATGCCCGCGTCAATGACTGGAGCGGGAGCACGATCCACCAGTGCCCGATCAGGAGTGCCAAGAGCGAGGCGTCGAGAGACTATCTCAATCCGCCGACTGGCACAACCAGTGGGCAAGGCTGAGCACCATCGGAGGACACCTGAAACAAGGATGCACCCACTGGCGCGGCGACGCACAATGCCCGGTCGCCGTGACCGAAATATCCAACTCTCCTGCACGGATACAAGGGAAGCCAGAGCACCGACGAAGCCACGGTGGTAACAGCATAGCGCGGAACGCATCGGCAATATCTACGCCCGCGACGCACACAGGCTGCCGACTGGCAACCCTGAGCTGAGAGAACGCGGCCCCTGTGGCAAGCCTCGCCTTTGGAGCATCGTCGAACAGCTACGAGGGGGTCCCCCCATCGAGGATCAATCGTAAATCTCCAGACTTCTTATACACATAGAATACACCCCCACCGCGCACAATGCATCAGCGTGGAACTCGATAAGGTTGGACGACAGAAGATGTTGCAAAACGATGTTGTACAGGCGAGGGTTCCTAAGATTGGGGCCCGAACACGCCCGCTTCGGAGCGCGCTCTGCGAACTGGGCGAGCCCCCGCTCACGGAGCAGCAATAGTTCTTGAAGGCGATGACCAATGCTCACGCTGTCGCCCCCGATGAGAGCTGGCAAGGGCAAAGGCTCGGAGCCGGCCCTCGGCGGGGAGATCAGATCGACTCGGCCGAAGGTCACCGGCGCAATCGCGGCGGATTTCTGGTCGCATGGTTGCGCAGCGCGGAGCTCCTCGAGGGCCCCCGCGGGTGCGCGGTCAGGCGGGGGCACGCCGAGAGGCGTCGACCGCCTCCTGGATCACCGCCAGGGCCTCCCGTTGCGAAGCCGTAGGAGCCGTCAGCCCCGTCGGCTGTGGACAGCTCGAGCCAGTGCCCATCCCGTTTAGAGCACGGACGGCGCCAGACACCATCTCTTGGCGGTGGTTGGCTCGATGGAGCTGCCTCTCGGTAGTTCGAGAGAGGTCTGGAACTGCAAAACTATGATCCGATGCCCCAGGGACAGGGAGTGGAAATACATCTCGATGCCGACGCTGTGGACCGGATCGAGCCCCCAGTACGTCTGCTCCGCGGGCGGGCGGAACCGCAGCCGAAGGCGGGCGGGGTGGCTGCATCCGGGGCCCCCGTCGGCCATGGCGGCGGAGCACGGCGCTGCCCCCTGGCTTTCCGCATCTGCACAAGGATCCCAACGTCGCGCTCAACATGGTTGGTCTCGCGCACCAGGAGCGCAGATGCAACCACCAGGTGGCCGCGCTCGCGGGCGGTGCCAGCGAAGACCCCGATCACGTCAACGAGCCCGATCTTCAGGAGGTCCCCATCCACCTCGAGGCTTCGGCCCGCTCATGGCCTTGGCACTCGCCACGCCATCGCCGGCAGCTGGGGGGTCACAGCCAGCGCCTCTCGCCTCATACACTATGGCGTACATGCCTTCATACAATAGAGCCTGTCGCAGCGCGACCTCGACCCAAATCGCATAGGGCAGGTCGAGGAGGGCCCACGTCATGAGGTAATCAGCCACATGCATGATCGACTCGTAGCGCGCGACTCCGAAGTCGACTCGCGACATCCTATGATACCAGACGAACCGATGGAGGCGCTCCACGGCCCGACCCCGCTCGTGGCCCAGGACGCGCAACCACCGCAGTGTAGTCCGGGGGCCGTAGCGCGGCCAGTCTGCGAAAGGTACCTCTCGAAGACGATCGGGACCCACGTGGAACTGCACGCGCTGCCACGAGCCACCGACGAGCAGCACGTCGGCGCGCACCACGCCTGAGCCGTCCAAGAGAGCGGCATCGCCGCGGGCGGCGGCGGTCGTCTCGACGTAGACCCTTTGCCCGGCAGGCCCGAGAACACCACCAGCGGCTAACGGCGCCGCCCTATAGGGGCCCGCTGAGGCGGAGCCAGCTGGCTTGGACAGCCCGGGAGCGGGCACGGTCACCAGAGCCGCTGCCACAGGGGGCGCCCGTGGCGGGCGGGCCAGCCCGCCCCCTGCCATGCGCGGGGGCCACCCCGCCAGCAGGGGCGCCGACGAAGGTGAAGTAGAACACTGCCCCAGCCGGCGGCGCCAACGTCGGGCGTTTCGCAGCGCGCTCGGCATCGAGGTAGACGCCTCGAGCGCGGTCCTCCAGCTCCACCTGGAACGCCACCTCCTCAGCCACAATCAGCGCCCGACGGAAGCGGCAGAGCGTACCCGCGTCCAGGGGGGCTCGCGCAGCAGTCGCCCATGGACCGCACGCCGGCCAGACTCCCGACCGACAGACCATTCAACTCGTTGTAATCGCCGCCGTTTAGCGTCGAGATCAGCACGCAGTCTGGGGACCATCTCGCGCCAATCGGAGTCTGACGCACTCGGCCCCACTCCCGCTGCTGATGCCACAGCGGCGCGCCTGCATACAACACCCAGGCCCACAGTCGCAGACACAACGGAGCTGGCTCCACCGCCATCCTTCAGAGCGGCTGGAGTGCGATGCGGGCGGAGCTGCGAGACGATCGTGGTGAAGAACTTCACCAGGAGGCCCGAGAACCCCAGCACGTTCACCACCAGGAGCACGAGAGCGAGCCAGCCCGAAGCCCAGCTGGCGCCCCGAGCCTCGGCGCTGGCCGAGGCGGGCGAAGGGGCCGGCTCCGAGCCAGCCGACGCTGGCGGGCACGCCGCTGGCGGATGCACGTGCACGGGGGCGCCCTGCGGGCAGGCCGGGCACGCCGGCGGCGGTGGGCACGCGGGGCACGCTGCGCACTTGGTCGACCAGCCCACGATGGTCTGAGAGACAATGCCGATGATCCAGTCGGCGTACCGTCCCCAAACAAGCCAGGCTATTGGAAACGGAGATGCTGTCGCCCGGCGTTCGTGCCGGTAACAGCTGTCGCGCCGGATGCACGATCATCCTCATCATCCTCATCCTCATCCTCATCCTCATCCTCATCCTCCTCATCCTCATCCTCATCATCATCATCATCATCATCATCATCATCAACATCATCATCATCATCAGCAGCAGCAGCAGCATTATCATATGTTCTTCCAAGAGCCCTGTTCATTCAGCGGCCAGACCAAGGACTTGTTCTGTGTGCAGGCTGGTGCCCGCAGCTCTAGGCAAAGGAGGCGCATCAGTCCCCAGCAGCGGTGCTGGGAGAGGCCGGCACAACACCACCCGTAGATTTTGCTCCGCGGGTGGGCTCGGGTGGGAGCTTGAGCACAATCGGTAGCGGGCGAGCAAGCACGCGCGGCCCCCACTCCCAAGACACCCTCAGGAAATATTCACATGCACGAATTGCCATACTCATCATCATCATCATCATCATCATCATCAGCTTCATCATCATCATTACCATCACCATCACCATCACCATCAACATCATCATCATCATCATCAGCATCATCAGCATTATCATCGTCATCATCATCATCATCATCATCATCATCATCATCACAACCACCACCACCAGCATCGCCAACCTCACCACCACACGCAGCACACTAAGTAGCAACAGCATAGTCAGGTGCATCATCACCACCACCACGACCATCATCAGCATCATCCGCAGCATCAGCATCAGTGTCAGCATCAGCATCATTACCCTCATCATCATCACCGTCATCATCATCAACCTTATCATCATCATCATCATCATCATCATCAGCATCATCATCATCAACATCAACATCAGCATCATCATCATCAGCATCATCATCATCACTACCACCACCATCATCATCATCATCATAATGATCATCATCATCATCATCATCATCATCAGCATCATCAGCATCATCATCAGTATCGTCATCACCATCCGTCTCCCCCACACTCTTCATCGCAGTTATCTACGGGGCATAGTCGTGGTCGACTGCACTTGCATCATCATCATCAGCAGCAGCACCAGCATCAACATCACAACCATCACCTTCCTTGTCACCATCGTCTTCATCATCGGCATATGCATCTGCATCAGCACCATCGCCAACATCATCAACATCACCATCGTCGTAATCAGCAGCAGCATCATCATCCGCATCATAATCGACATCATCACCAGCACCAGCACCATCACCATTACTATGCTCCTTCTCCTGGTCCTGCTCCTCGTCCTCCTCCTCCTCCTCCTCCCCGCCCCCTCCTCATCATCATCATCATCAGCAGCATCATCAGCTTCTCACTCTTCGTCATCAGATCACCACCATCATCAGCATCAGCATCAGCAGCAGCGGCATCATCATCACCATCACCATCATCCTCTACAAGATCTTCTTGTAGACCCCCTGCCTGTCCCACATCCCCTCCTCCACGACATCCCCGTCCCGCCTTCTCCTCCTCCCCGTCCTCCCCTCCTACTCCTCCTCGTTGTCCTTTTCCACCTCGTGACTCCTCCTCCTCCTCCTTCTCCTCCTCCTTTCGTACGCCCCAGCCTCTCTTCTGGTTTCCCTGCTCCTCATCCTTCTCCTCCTCCTCCTCCTCCTCCTCCTCCTTCTTCTCCTCCTCCGCCGCCTCCCTCCCCCCATCCTCCCCATCATCTTCTGCTTATCCTATCCCTACGGCAACACCTCCAGCATGCCATCCCAAGGCTCTGCCTCCTCCTCCTCCCCCTCCTCCTCCTTCTCTTGCACCCAAGGCTCCCAGGTCTCACGAGGCCTCCTGGGCCGAAAATGGTTCAAATCCTAAAGACAGAACACAAAGATTGGGGAAACCACAAGGTACCGATACTGCTACTCCTGTGACCTCTCCCGGGGTACTGACCAGAATGATTCCAGCTGTGGCCACTGGGGCATCCCGGAGGACCCAAGGAGGCGAAAACGGATGAAAGGGTAGCAGTATCGGTACTGTTCTTCCCTCCGCTGATTGATCCTCGCGCGGTCCGCGCGGATTTCCGAGAGGCACGCGCGGAGCTCCGAGAGCTTATGATTATGTTTTCTTCTTCAAAAGACACCTCGATCATCCTCCCTCTCATGTTCCCAGTCTTTGGTCACCAACTTTGTCTTCGAATGCCTTCTCCTCCTCTGATTGATCCTCCTTCATATTTTCTCCCCCTCTGCCAGCCGCCTCCGCGTCTGCTGCGCCAGCCGCGTCCTTTGGAGGGGGGGGGAGGGAACGCGCCCCCCCCCTGCAAGCCCCTAGGGGCAGAGATGAGGGAGGGGCAGGGACGAGGATATCGATAGGGGGGGATCCAGGAGATCGAGAATACCGAGGACATCGATGTCCGAGGATATGGAGGAGATCGAGGCTCCGAGGCGGGGCGGGTGGCGAGATTGAGGAAGGAAGGAGGGAACGGAGGGGACAATGGAAAAGTAGGAGGGACCAGCGAAGGAGGGAATGGGAGAGCAAAAAATGGCATCAGCATCAGCTGTCGGAAGCTCCGCGCAGATTTCTCGCCGCTGGCGGCGCCTCCGGCGCCGCCCCTGGTCGGCGCCGCCCCTGGCGCGCTCCGCGCGCCAGGGAAAGGGGCCCAGCGAGAATCCAAGAAATCAGCGCGGACCTCCGAAATATCATGTTGACTCCTTGTTTCTGTCCCTCGATGACAGGAAGATAAGGAGGGGCGAGCGAAGGCGGGAGGGAAGAAGGAGGGAAGGAGGGAGCAGGGGGACGAGATGGTAGGAGGAGCGAGGGTGCGCGAGGGGCGGGGAGTGGGAGCGAAGGTGAAGGGGGGAAGGAGAAAGTGTGCGGCAAAGGGGTTAGTAGAACCGACGGAGGAGAGAAGAATACGACGGGGAAGATGTGGGCGGGGAGAGGAGCAAAGGATGTACTTGACCCTCCGCCGTCGCCGCATCATAATCAGAGCCAGCATCATCAGCATCATCACAGCTACCACCACCACCATCATCACCCACCCCATCACGCCTCACAAGGAGGACGAGGGGAAGGAGGGCGGACGATGACGACGACAACGACGACGACGACGACCATGGCGACGACGACGACGACGTCTGACCACGGATGAAAACGACAACAGCGACGGCGGCCACGACGGCGACGATCCCGAGGGCGGGCAAGCATTCCGCTCCTGCGCGCTCCTCCGGCGGCTCGAGGAGCCCTCCTCCCAGGGGCTCCGCGGAGGCCACTGGCCGCGGCCACCGCAAGTCGTCGGTCGCCGCCATCGTCAATGCTGCCGCTGCCGCCACCGCTGACGTCGACGTCGTCGTCCGTCGTCAATCTCGACGTCGGCATCGGTCGTCGTCGTCGTCCAGCGTCTGGCCTCCATCGCCGTCCGTTGTGGTCGATCGTCCTCTATCCTCGTCGGCCTCGCTGTCGTCCGTCCTCCCGCTGCCTCCTCCTCCCTCCTCCTCTCCCTGGGAGGGAAGGGGTAGAGGATTGGGGAGCCCGAGGGAGTGGGTGGGAGAGGGGGGGGGGGGGGAAGTGGGCGAGGGGGAAGGAAGGAAGGGGCGGAGAGGAAGGGCAGGAGGGGTCCAGTACCCCGCTGCAGCAACAAACATCTAAGGAATTGAAAAAACAGAAGGGAGGTTTGAACCAGAAAGGCCCGAAGAAGAAGTCGAACTCAGCGTGGACTCGTGTCATGGACAGAAGCAGGAGAAGGGGGGAGGACGAGCGAGGAGGGGCAGCGAAGCGGCGGGAGGAGGGAAAGAGGAGGAGAGATGGGCACGAAGGCGGGGGAGAATCGGAGTCGAGCTCTCGGAATCCGCCGCATCTACTCCGACATCGTACAATCGCAACCAGATGTACTGAGCAAAAAAGATCGGATCATCGAGGCGTACGAAGCGGCTAAGAACCGAGGTAAGCGCGTGGCGACGGAGTCGAAACCGACTGCAGGCAGCAGTTGGCGTAACGCCCCTTGCGATGATCCTCGCAACGCGAATTAGCGTCAGCGTTTGCATGTC